ATGGTTCATTTTTATCTACAAAAATTTAACCCCTGCCACCCACACATAAATATACTCCATATTTCACTATAAGCCACATTGGAAGCTAGTGCTGTAGATCAGAAGTGCTAACTGCCAGCCACAAATATTAGATTCTAAGGAAATTTTGGACAAAACGCGAAATATTAGACCCTCAAATATTACCAACCGTATGGTAGTATAGCTTGTCATGATGCCATATGTTCATTATAGAAACACTTCCTATCTTCAGTATGTACTCTTGGTACTACTCATGATATGATTGTAAGATTAAGAACAATGCAGCAATAAAAATTAGAAAATCTTGTATTTTTTCACTGACATGTGTTTTACAATATTACTGCTACCACATTAGATAAATACCCAGTAGTACACACATGGGGCGTGGCCAGAAGATGGGCCTGACTGGAGATGCAATACATACAGAGTGGTGCTTTGCTAGTCCAATTACTAATGAGCAGGTACATGTACATGTATAAGTACCAGTACAATACAAAGGATAGTGTATCAATATTGACAGTCAGTGTATAACAATTAACCTATTCATACAATTGTGTACATGTACTTTATATTACATGTGTATCCATGAAAATGTACATGTACATGTATGTACATTGTACAGTGTTTCCTTGCTATAAGGTGGTTTACAATATTTCTGCTAGTCCTCAAGATATGCTAATGCTCAAGTTGAATTTTGTTCTAGTCTAGTGTCAAGCATGAGTCAAAGGTCAAACTGCCCATGCTTTTGATTAAATTGAAGGAACATTTAATAATAATAGTAATTCACACATAATACATGTACATGTATGTACTATACACAACATTTGGTTAAATTAAGGACTAGTGTACCTGAATACACAATATTGATGGACATTGTAAAATAATATTAAGCAATTTAAACAATTAACACATGAATAATGTGTAATGGGTTGTTGCTATACTTGCCCTAAATGCTCTACTACATGTACATTGTAGTTATACATGCACTTCAGTATAATACATGTATTAATGGGACAAGACACTGTAATACAAGTCAGGTGAGTAGTCACATAGACAAGATGAACCATGAAATGTTCTACATTCATTAACTTAATAAATAAATCATTGAATGATTGAAGAATGCATGTAGAATGATGTACATGTATCATTAATATAAAAGCTCTACATAATACTCAACTATTGACTGTACACATATTAATTATACAAGTCATTATGCTGTATTGAAATGGGATTCAATTATGATTGTGACAAGGTGTTATCAAAACAACTTACATGTACACTCATGAGTACAGTCTTGTTCTATTTAGGCTATTATTATCAGGACCTACTCAGGATCTATCACTTTTTATTCTCCAGTTTATCATACGTACATGTACATGTAGACCAGGAATAGTCTCACAATACATGTACTTAACTGATTCTATAGAAATTAAGTTAAATGTGTCATTATTATGAGCAACAACCTACCAATAAGACACATGCATGTACATGTAATGGGTATGACATAGTTTTGTACATGTACATGTTTTTGAGAAATGAAACATGTACAAAGTTTACTAATACATACAAGTACATACCAGTACACATACCAAGTGTACTGTGTACATCAGTGTGGCTCACATCAGCTGTGAGGGACTGTACTGTACATGCATAAGAGTACATAAGAGGAACAATAGTAACCTAATAGTGGGATACTACTATCATGCATTAATATACACATTATACACTATAAGCTATTGCTACATAACTGATTTTAATACATAGAAGAAGCTAATAGTGAATGTACATGCTGTAACTGTATCAACAATACAAAAGGTTAGGTTTCTAACAAAGGAGAGGGATCAAGCATCATAAGACACCAAAATGACACTACTAATGTTTTACAGTCATTGGGTAAACAATAATACTAACATGTGACATCACATACAATTACTATGAAGGAGCAAGTACTGACCATCATGCCACACCCTCTACATCTTACATCATACATCAATAGGGAAGGAATGGACAACAGATAATCATGTGACACATTTTTATTATTTAAATTAATTTTAAACATGGTAAGGGAGGAAGTAGTAGCTGATGACTCAAGCTGTTTCATAAAATTTACTAACAATACAGTACTACATACAGTATAATAACATCAGTTCAATAAACTAATAAATACATTACCTGAGTGTACTCTCAGTAGGGTAGCAGTATCAGAATGACGGTGTTCTTCAGCACAATCAAGAGCAGTCCTACCATTCTA